CGCTCAGCCAGTGAGCGGGAACTGGTCTGTATGTGGGATCCGAACCCTCAGCGGGAGCGCCGCCGCGCTCCCAAGCGGCGCACTGTAGCAGTGTGCCACCAGGCCGGCCCAAAAGCTTTCATTTCTAATAGTTATTTATTATTCTCTTTTAATCCTCAGTAAATGATAGATATAATAGAAATAGTTTCTTCATGGACCATCTCACATGTCTACTTAGAATTCCTGTTTTAGAATAGAAAACATTTTCTATGCTATTTTTATGGTGTTCAACAATTACATCGTACCTTACACTGGCTTCTACTTCTTGCTTCTGGCTTTTTGGAAGATATATACTATTGCTTGATTCAAAATGCATTCTAATACATTAGTCACAATATTTTAATGTTTAAAATTTTATTCAACTCTTTAATCTGGAAGTTAATTTTGTAAACTCCATAATGTATCCATTTAAATCTGTAAAATTTATCCAAAGAATTCTCAAGCTACTTACTGAATACTTCATCTGAGATAGCATAATTGCCTGCATTCACCATGTCTTTTTCTACTTTTCTACTTATGTACATCTTTCTGATAAAATACCACAATGCTCAAGCTAATATAAATGAAATGTGTGTTATTTCTGATTCAATAAGTCCCTCCTTTACATATCTTTATTTTCAAAAGAATTTTTCTCTTCTCACAGAAATTAAAACACAGAAAGTTTAGAAAAATTCCTAAATTCTTTTGAAACCCAAGGTGTGTGTTTTTAACTTAGTATGCACTGTATTTATGCAGGCATTGAGATTTATTATAATAATTCGCCATTCTATCTAGGAATTTAAAATGGCATTTTAAAAAATTGATTCTTTTGATGCTCTTTTATTCCAGCCTAACATATTGGTCTTGTAAATTATTTTAGCTTGTTTTAGCTATTCTTTTTTTGTTACTATACAAGGCAAGTTTATTTCTGTTTTTAAAATTATTTTATGTGAAAATAAAAAAATAAATAAAAATTTATTTTTATGTAAGAATAAATTTATTCTTTTTATGTATAAGCCCGTTTTTGCCCATTTGCCCATTGTCCATTTTATTTCTAATATTTTAAAAAGTATATTCTCCAATTGATTAGTCACTAATAACTATAGTTTTGTTTTATTGACTGATTGATTTTTTTCCTTTTTGTACAGTCTTCTCGTTGTTTTCCCCTGTACATCCAATGCTGGGGTGAACAGTTGTACTCATAGCAGATCTCATTGTCTTATTCCTGCCTATAGGTAAAGTGCTTCAAAAGCAGTTTATTACAGATATAAAAATTTATGAAAACAAAGTTTACTCGTATTTCCTTTTGTTATTTAATATTTCTAAATGTAGAGCTGGCATTTATGAATATCCAGTGTTACTATACAGTTATGCATCATTTAACAACACAAATGCATTCTGAGAAATGGATCATTAGGCACTTTTGTCACTGTGCAAACATCATAGAGTGTACTTACACGGACAGAAATGGCATAGCCTACTACACACCTACTCTATATGGCATAGCCATTATAATCTTATGGGACCACCCTCACATATGCTGTCCATTGCTGACTAAAACGTTGATATAAAGTGTGTGACCATATTTCTCATTCATTGATGTTACTGAAAAAAATCTGTTTTTCTCACTCCACATAAACAAAATGAAATCATGACTTATCCCCTCCAAATGGCTATTCATTCCCTCAGAGCTTGAAGATTAATGGAAGTCTCTACAATAAACTTATTTCCCCAACTGAGAGACATAAATTGTGCCATGGAACCAGTTTCTGCCAATATGCCCAACTGGCATCTTCACAGAATAGAAAAAAAAAAAAAAGATATCTCCCAGAGATCCAAAACTCCATGTAATTTTATTGTAGACAGCATGCATTTTTAATAGTCACTGCTCATTTGATGTTATGTAAAAAGCAGTGAAACATGCTTTTGTGCTCTTCATCCCACACCATTGCAGGTCAATCTGCTGCTTTCTACATGCAAAAGTATTAAGTATACTAACCTTGCTTCATACCATCAGAATTCATTGAAATGACTATCGACTTTCTTTCTAATACATAACGTGCAAAACTCACATTTGGCCCTAGATGCCTCTACTCTCTGAACCTAAATTTATCCTCTAGTTTAACACTATAATATTCACTATTCTCTTGGAGACATTTTCTTTCTTCAGTTGCTTAAATACTATTGCAATAGGTATTTCTCGTACATAACGTGCAAAACTCACACTTGGCCCTAGATGCCTCTACTCTCTGAACCTAAATTTATCCTCTAGTTTAACACTATAATATTCATTATTCTCTTGGAGACATTTTCTTTCTTCAGTTGCTTAAATACTATTGCAATAGGTATTTCTCTTTGATGGAAACTTTCATATAATCCCGTGATTAGTTAATTTCTGGGAAAATTATTTCATATTAAAAGTTAAACACTCAATGACTTCTCCATAACTTCCATAGTGTCCCAGAAACCACTGTCTTAATATTGCATAGACTATGAACTCTACCCGTGCAAATACAGATAAATCTTAATCCCATAAGTACCAAAATGATAATTTTATAAGGTTTCATTTAAAATTGCCACTCAGTTTATTGTTTATATTGGAGTAAAAACTTGGTCTGTTTATGGAGATCTTATGAACAGCATGGGAACTGTAAATAATAATAAAGTATTCTGCACCTGAAATTTGCTATGAGAGTACATCTTAAATTTTCTCACCACAAATAAAAAATAAACAAAAACTATGTGCAATGATGGATACGTTAATTAGTTTCATTATGGTAATCATTTTATAAAGTGTATATATCTCAAAACATCGTGGATTATACCATATTTAAAACCAATTTTCTTTACCAATTGTACCTCAATAAAGCTGGGATAAAAAGAAGAAGCTCTGTCTATTTAACATTCTCTGTGACTGTTTCAAAAATGTTCTTAAACTCTGAGGAAGAAATTAATAAACAACTATTTTGAATATACATACAATTCACATATTTGTAATATTTAGGGTTTTTTTTCATTCCTTATCTAAGCAAAACAGAGCTTGGATACTCTAGAGTCGTGGCTCATGAGGATGTAGGGGCTGACAGCTGGGAAACATGCAGCGATTAGTGCAGACGTGTTCACGAGCCACACACTGGGATTATTTGAAAGAGACACAAAAATGTGAAAGATGGAAGAGAGAGTGCACAAAGACACAAAGGTGCTCACCAGGACAAGAACGTTTTGTGTAGCCGTGGACTCAGGAGAGGGTCTGGAAGAGGAATTGTTCCTATGTATGTGTCTTACCCGCCGCTTGTGCCTGTAGAGGATGGAAACCATAGAGCTGCTGGCCAAGAGCATGAGTCCCAAACAGAAACCATCATGGAAAAATAACACTGATACATACAATGAGGAAGTAATTTCCTCAAGGTCTGCAGTGTAACAGTAGTCATAATCACGTTTGTTTGTGAGGCTTTTGTTGACCAATTTGCCAGTCACATACACAGGAACCACAATGTTTGGAATCATGTGCAGGACCCAGCAGAGGATATTGGAGGTGCCCATGTACTTGGCAGCTTTTACCTTAAGCTCTGCCCACCTGGAGTTCCTGGGACTCATGGTGATGGCCTGGAAGACACTCAAAAGGCAGGTGGTGCCAATGGACACATCCCTGCCTAGTCTGTGAAAATAGAAAACAAGTTTGCATCCAGTATCACTGAGGAAATATTTTAACCCCAAAGCTGCCATCGTTTGGGGGACTCCTTTACAGAGAATGACTAAGCAGTTGGCAACAGTCAGGTGTTTGAGTATCGTATCTGTGGATCTAAACCTGCATCCTGTGAAGTAAAGGAAGAGATAATGGTAAAGAATGGAGAAATTTCCCAGAATTCCAACCATAGTCTGTAATAAAAAGATCATTCCTGTTGCCAAATCCCTGGTGGCCATTCTGCCAGTTTTCAGTGACGGATATTCAACTTCTCAGCCAGAGATGCCTATGAGGGAACATACTACATTTACCATGTCAACTTAAATTCAACATTCTTTATGTTCATTAACCTCTGCTTAGAAATGTTTAATGTATGTCTTTTATTTACAGTTTACAAGAGTTGACCGTATAACCTTTACAGAGCGATCACAAAGCAGATATCACTGCAATAAGACCATCGATGTAGTACATCCCATATTTCTTATAACTTCATGAGACAGACAAAACTATTATTCTTACTGAAAATGTAAGAAGAACTTAGGTAAATAAAGGTTAATGATTTATTCAAGTTTAATCAGTTTAATGGGCACAGTAGGGGCTCATATCTGGATGAGCTTGAAAAAGGAGAATGCATTTAAACCTCTGCTATTCTAACATGGTTTGTTAGTTCTTCTCTTCAAAAAATGTAGACTAATATTTAGACATTTTCTTACTTGGCCATTTCATTTTACATTAGTAGTATCTTATTTTATAATTTTGATTATTAAAACTTTCCATTATGTGTAAAGATTTATTGTATATTCGGCCCTTCATTTTCATTGGTTCTGCATGCATGGAGTCAAGCAACCCCAGATCAAAAATATTCAATAAAAGTTATCAGTACAACAATATAAACAATACAAATAAACATACAGTATAAAACTATTTGCATAGCACTTAAATTGTATTAGATATTACAAGTAATCTAGAGATGAAATACAGTATATGGAGGATGTGTGTAGTTTATATGCAAATACTACAACACTTCTTGTAAGGTACTTAAGCATCTGTGAATTTTCGTATTTGCAGAAGTTACAGAAACCACCCCGTAATGGATGCTGAGGCACAACTGTATATGGAAATACCAATTATAAATAAAAATATAGACATTTTAATAAAATGTAGATGTATTGCTTGCAGTATAATTCTATCAAGATTTACTCTGTGACAAAATGCATTTAAATAATGCCGAATGGGCCTTAAATCAGTAGCAAAGAAACACTAATTTCCTTTAGCCAGGAACAAAGTGGCATCTAGCCTCAGAATCACTGAACACTGTCAAGATCTAAACTGTATGGCAAGAAACATCAATGTGTTAAAGTAGTGCACGGTAGAAACTAAATGTTACTAATGACAAATCATAAGATTCTCTTTTTATGAATATATGACTTAAGTACCAATATTAGCAATAAGACAAGAATTCTTGTAAAAATAAAATATAAATAAAAATAAAATATAAATAAAATAAAATATAAGAATTCATACAAAACATAAATTGTAAGATGTGAAATCTTGTGTATTTTGATAAAGTGATCTGTAGTTTGGGATTGGTGTGAGAACATTTTTAAAACAGAAAATATATCATAAGATACATTTGTGCCTGCAAGTTGCTCTCTGAAGTCCATTAGATAATGTTACCTTTCCCTTCAATGCTGCTTCCCTAACTTGAAGATGGAAAATTGTCTCACCAAAATCAACAGACTGCAGTTGTTTTCAATTTACACTACAATTGGAAAAATCATTTCCATTGCAGAAACTGACGTTAGAATATACTACTTTTGCCCAAGATTAGGTAATTCCTGTAGTTCTATCCTAGTCTTTATTGCAAACATGAAGGTATTATATACTTGCAATTTAGTAATACTAAAAATTTAGTCTGGTTTCTGTAAGGTAGGCTGAACAGCACATTAATTTTGGCATTATAGTCCTTAAACTCTTAAAAATCAGGTTTATTATCACTTGGCTTAAACATCAACAATCCCTATAATTGTGGATTAACTAAATTACATTAGCAAACCAGGAATTGGTGCAAGGTCTAGGATTCCACATATCTTTAGTATTTCCACTCATGCCTGGGGAATTATTCCTCTTTGCTGTTTCACTTTGACACTGGACTAAGTTTCAAACCCCCAAAGGACCATTTTTTCCAATATTGTCACTTTCCCAGTCTCCTGATACGCCTATGCCTCCTTACTTGGGGACTCTGCATGTCAGACTGAAACAGAAAGTACTCACCTGACTTCTTCTGGCTACCAGGACTGGGGATCAGCATGAAGGTCACAACTGCCAGTATTGTGTAGGGAGGAGGCAGCCAGACCCTAAAATATGTGCTACTGATTCTGTGACCTCACCTCCCATGAGAACAGCAATGATCATTTCACCTGTCATTACAATGAGAGGGCAGGCTTAGGGAAGTGAGGATATTTGTGGCAAACTTTTTCCTAGTTGCTAATTACCAAAAAACCAATTACACGTTTGTAGTAGTTGTCATCTCCAACTGGTATGCAATGTATGTGAGTCTCTTTCATTTCCTTGATTTCTGGAAGCAGACAGGGTCTCACACGGACAGAGCAGGAAATTCTGAGGTCTGAGGGATAAGCAATTGGAAGAAAAGTCCTTGTATCTCACTGAATTTTATGATTTGTGTTAAAAGAAAAAATTTAAATGAATTAAAGTTTATTTGATCTAAGAACAATTCAGGAATCAGGCAGCACTCAGAACCAAAACACGTTTGGAGAACTCCACTCAGCAGCATGAGCAGAGAGCTTTTATAGGCTGAACTCAGAAGTAGAGAAATCACTTGATTGGCTAGAGCTAGGCATCCGCATCATTTATTCAAGGCATGATAAAGCATGTGCCTTATTTGGGCATAATCTGCTCACATGGCTGTCCCTGATTGGTTGAAGTTTGAGTGTTTGTGATTGGCTGAAACTCACCTGTTTGTTACAAAACAAACTTCTAAGTTAGGTTTCAATTAGTTTACATACTAAGTTAGATTGTGGTTTGCTGCATAGGAACTCAAAGTACACAGATAGCCTCAGGCTTGTGGCCTCCTATGAATTTAATTTAACACTTAAGAAGTTTTTCTAGTCCCAGGTGAGTTATTTCCTGATCTTCAGAGCAGTGAGTTTCACCATCATTTAATTCACAGCAGAGAAATGGAAACAAAATACCTAAGAAAGATTTTCTAAGAGATGCAAGTAAAAGGAAGAACATGATGACAATAACTTACATTAGAAAGCACTACTAATTTACATGGAAGTTTAGATGATATGTATGTTCTAGCAAGATTTGTTTTACCAATAATCACCCTTTCTTCACTCCCCCAATAAGGAGAGAAATCATAAACAGAACAATATTTACAGAATTATAAATGTTAACATGTCCATAAGAAATAAAAGCATGTTTTTACAGGTAGGATCAGACGATATAACAGACAGATTTTTTAATTTCTTTAACATTACTTGAGAGATTGAACATTACTTCCTCAGTTCAAGAGCATTGAACGGTTACCCAATCTTCCACTTTTATTTATTTTTTCTGCTGAATTTTCAATAGAGTCATGATTGCTTTGTAATTAAGGCATATAATATATGAGTTCAAATTAATCCTTTGGTTTTTCCTAGAAGCAAGTTCTTAATTGGATCAAGCTCCACTGTTCAATTCCCCAAATTTCCAAAAGAGGGATTATGGTGGACAACCATAAGTGTAAATTCACACACAGATACACATGCTTAGAAAGCGATGAAGACACACATATGACTGTGCACCATAGAAATATACAGTCACATGTATTCATATGCTTAAACAAATACATGCTCAATACAGTTTTTAAAACAGCCTTACATTTGTCCACAAGTCAGCACAAATAAACATGCATGCACATTTATACACACTATGATACACACACACAGGTTTACACAGTCCCACATACATTTATAAAATCACACTCATACCATTAGCTTGGGTGTATATATCTTTATAAGATATTCATATATGAAAGAACAGTGGTGTTTCCAGCTTTGCACATGCCTGAAAATAGGAGCACATTTCACCTTTTTAACACTCCTTTCATCCCTGCAACAATGCACAAACATATTATTTACAATGTGTGTCATTCAAAAGTAGAGTAAGCATCGCCAATTCAGGTCAAGATACACAGGAGCAAAGTTTTAATGTAGGGAGTGGACAGTGTGTTGGTGTGTGGTAGAGTGCGGTAGAATGGGCACAGGAAAGGGGCGATGGGATTCTGTAAAGAGCATGGTAAAATGGGAAATAGAGCAGCAGGAGAGAGAGTGAAGAGGGTTAAAAGGCACAAAGGTGTTAAATTCACACAATGGTCACAGTGTGGGGTTCACTATAGGAGTCAGAGTGTGCAAGGAAGTTCAGGGTACGGGAGACGTTCTGTGCTGCTGCATAAGTGGTGCAGGGGATTATGGGAGTGAAGGGTTAAACGGGAAGGGAAGGTAACTGGAGAGAGATTAAGAGCAATAGCGAGTGAATGGCAGAGCACACTCAGTGTCTGTGAGAGGTAAAAGAATGTGAAAGACAAAGTGGTATAATGAGGGTCAGCAAGTGCTGGGGTAGTTAGTGGTCCAAGGAGGAGACGGAGGGTGGAAGGGGAGATGGAGCCTGGGAGGGGGGTACAGGAAGACAAATTGGGATTTAGGTGATGAACTGAAGTGGGGAGAATAGTGGAAGTGATGAGGTAATGAACCAGGAGAAAAGGTCAGAACATAGTGTTAGGATAATGCCCGGGCTAATGAGAAAGATGAGGGTTTACAGGCTGAGGGCTGGGAATTTGAGGTAGATACATACAAGTCACTGGAAATGAGCTGAAATCTCGGGAATGGGGTTAGATGGACTCAGGGCCAGAGAGAAGGTGGGAATGGAGGCTGGTGCGTTCAATGGAAATGGAAGGTGAAAGAGTTTGTCTGTGGTTTATGTGATGCTGGGGACGGGTTTTGGAGGTTTGGAGGTCAGGAAGAGCTCAGGCTGGTCGTTGTTGTCCAGTACAGTAGTCTAGAAAAGTTGCCTGGATGCTGGATCATGCGGTGTTCTAGGCTAAAGGATACAATCAGGTGCTGGGAAGAGAGAAAGAGGGGCAGGATACAGTGTGGTAATGGAGGCCAAGGAGAAAGATGGAAAGTCACTAATTCTCACCTCCATCATTAATTCCCTCACTTAGAGGGGACTCAGA